ATTGCAATTATCAAAGACTTCATCTTCTACAAAAATAAAATAAATAACATAAATAAAAACTAAATACACTACTTAGCATTATACTTAAGTCCATTTTATAAGTATATTTGTTCAATAAAAAAGTCTAAATATCATAAGAGGCATATCTCGCAACTATGGTACAGTAGACTTGACTTGAGCCTGACTGCACGAGACATCAAATATTCCTTTTCACTCATTTTAACTGTCGCATTTATCGTGCCATTTTTTATTATATATAACGCTTCTTGAAAACATTTGAAATTTATCGAGCAGCAATTAAGTATCATAATTTAACAATTATCTAACAGTTCATTTGTGCAAAGCAATTAATCGTCACAAATTTGCCAAAGGAGGCAACAAAAGCCGTGAGGTTTTTATTTCCCATCTACATGTGGTCAAAGTAGTGTAGTCGAACAATATATGGAAGAATCAGATGATTTTTATATCATTTTATAAAAAATCAATTCATTATGAGTCGAACATAGATTTTGGAAAATGATTTAAAAGTTTAAATTCTACCTTTTTCAGCCTTTAGTGCCAGTTTAGATCCTCAAAAACTTTGTAGTTGGTTGATCTTTTTCGAGAACGCTGCTTAGTTTTCTATATGATGTCCAAATAGAACTGCGTAAGTGTATTGCCTCGTTAACCAAAAGTCACCCGAGAAATAAAATTCTCGTTTTAACTTGTTAAACACAGATAGAATGGCAGTTATTACGCGCGCATTTAGAACAATAAGAATCAGCAGGGGAGGGGAGGGAAGAATATTTACTATAATGCAATGAAATCTTATACTTTTTATCCAAGATGGCGGAACGCTCGTCCAACAGTCGTCTATCTTCAACAGTAGTCATCCCTCGCTCAAATCGKCGGGAGAGAAGGTAAAACAATCACAGAATCTAATTCATAAAGTCCATGTTACAGTAGTGTGCTTTAAAGAACAAGTCATAAAACGTAGAATAGAGCTGAATAATGGTTTGAAGTTTAGCATAATGTCAGTCTTGTCATTCTTCGCGCGCGAGCCAGCTTTAGCGGGAGAGATCACTCGCTCTATTTATAAGTTGTCCCTCTTATGGTAATGGATAGCAAAATGTCTTCCAAGTTATATTACTATCATTTCAAATTTGTTTATGATTTTTGTATTAAATTGAATTAAATTATTGAATTAAATCTAGCTACACATGCACCTTCTTTGTCAATGAAAACAATGGGAGCTTGCTTTCTAGATCGTACGACTAGCAACAAAAAATCATTTTCAGCGTGAAATTACTTGTACAAAAACCCCTAAACATACATTAAGATGTCGACACTAGTTAGTGTGTGAGATAAAAGGCGTCAATTCGACAAAATATGTATAAAGATTTAGGTACATGTATGTGAAATTTCGTCACTCTATTGGATACCACAGGGATCCCGCGCTAGCATTATTTTTCAAACTTTGATGTAACATTTATTCATTCGGCAATTTCTTTTTAKATTATTAGTACTAATATAAATTAGTATGTTCTAAGGGTGAGCATCAGGCCCTCTCTTGGCTTGAGCCAGAGATGGAATGGGGAGAGAAACTAATTAAATGACGTGACCCATACAATAAAAAAATATTCCAAAAAAATTGGTTTGCGTATCAATTTAATGTTTATATTTTACTATTCTTTTTAAAGAATAGTAAAATAAAGAGAAATGATGACAAGGCGAACTCTCGCAGTGAAAGAAGAACCGATCATTTCATTAGTAATGAAAACAGACCCAGTCGAAATTGGCAAAATGATCAACTGGCAGTTAAAGAGAGACTAGGGCTTGTGCGCGAGATCGAGATCCTTGTGACGTTCCCTGTCGAAATAGGTATTTTGAGGTAAGTTGATTCTGGTTGATATCATCACTATTATCATCATCATCATTATTGAGGACTGTGTAATTATTGTCAAGAGGGGGGTTAGAGGCAACTCTTATTACCTGTTAATGTCTAATGCTGACCTTAGGTCAACTAGCTAATGGGTCAGGGTGTAATTTGTCGTTAAGCAATGGCTTGGAAAATATTTCAAAAGTCTGCTGGACAAAACAATTACTGCTGACTCATAGTCCACTATACTGAATAATACATGTTGCACATATTGCAACTTTTTTCACATACAAATTGGTCACTGAACCTTAGTATGGAAATTCGTGAATAAAGAAAAAGTCAGTCAAGTATATTTTGCTCACTTCAAGCCTCTTCAGTTGACAGTATGTTAATCAGTATTATATAATAAAGTGTATAAACGGGTTAAAGGGCAAAGGATGGCATTGTCATTCGTCCAGCGTCGCTCTGGGAATTCTTACATAGTTCCATTTGTGCTTATAAGTTGCTCTGCTGGGAAGTTTTTTATCTTTACTTGCTTCTGCTATTTGTCTAACCATGTAAGTTCTGTATGCAGTTAAAGAATCGCAGCCAACCACAATACAGCGCGCGCTCGTGTTATTGTTTACATACGTTTAAATGCGTCAAGCATACAATAGATTATGATTGATAGTACCTGTGAGGTACTTAGTGAAAGGTATTTCTCTTCAGACTGAAAGGATAGAAGACGATTCGCGCTCACTTTAAGAAATCCTACGAATCCACCATTTTCGTGTCCACCTATAATGGCGCTTCGGCTCGCAAGGTATGGCGGTTGGTTGTGATTCTTTAAGTCGCTGTGTGATTTCTCTTCAAGACATCGATAACGTAAACGTTTTGTAATGATATGATTTATTCCATTTGGCCAAGCATCTTTTGATTACTTTAATTATGTAAATAGTTATCTTAGCAAAACCTTGCATCAGTTATATATTTATGATTAATTATTAATTTATTGCTTATTACTTATGAATATCGTGTCGGCCATTTCTTAATAGTTGTCTCACGGTTGTGGCCTGGGTACCTCCTCTACATACACACGGCTGACGGAGTGCCATCCGGTGTGGGTATTATGTCTACCTTTACGAAACCCAGACCCGGCACAGTTGCCTACATTGAATCCAACGCGCACACGTCCTTTGTTGAGCTTGTCACAGTGACCTTGAATGACTTTTACGCTGTGGACGTTTCTCTTTGAAATTCCATGGGCAGGATGGTCTATTCCTTCGATGGCTGCCGGAGACTTGCACTCAGCTCCATTGAATGTAAAGAACCACCGTTTACAGCACAAAAGACAAAAGCTTACTCTAAAATCACCGTTCCAGTAGACAAACAGGACAGTATCGCTTCGTTTCTTGTAGAAATCACAGTACTGAAAAAAATGAAGACTATATTAGAACGTTTGATTGTCTCTCTATGGTTTAATTGTTTGTTATACTCTTAAGCCTAACTTAGTTATTCAATAAACGTAAAAAGTAAACTATAACAAAACATCGATACAAACTCTTATCAGTCCGTTGTCTTTTCTGTCGTTGATGTTTTTCCAAACGCATTCCTTCCAGTTGGAACGAGATGACAGTCCCACAGATCCACGATCTCCTTTAGGTCCTTTAGGTCCACGTGCGCCGGTTTTTCCTCTTTTCCCTGGAGTTCCTGTTGCTCCTTGTTGTCCAGCAGGTCCTTGGGGACCAGGTTTTCCTTGAATACCCTCACGTCCATCGCGACCATCACGTCCAGGGGCACCAGGTATTCCAGGTATGCCTGCCAGAGTGGTGGGACGTGGACAGGAGGACTGCTATATATAACATA